CGTTCCCTGGCAGACGGCAAGCCCTGCTGAGTCGGAGCAGGATCGAATCGTGACGCCACTGGATCGCGGCGGAGTGGGGTCCGCAATGACAGACCACATGAGGACGGGTCTCGGATTCCGCCCCGCATCGCCGGAAACGTCTATCACCCTCTCCCCACCGACGTGCACCGTTCAACGGCAACACGTCGAGACGAGCACGGTGGATAAAACGCCAATCAGCGAAGCGAGTGAAGCTGCCGCCCCGCATAAAGTGATTGCTCACTCGATGACGAGACGACACCTCGAACACCTTCCCCTGGTCTGGTTTCCGCGACAAGGTGGTATCATACCACTCCGCCACCGCAGCACGCAGGCGTCCGATCACCTGGGCACGAGCCCCAAGTGGGATCTTGGTGATCCTGCCCCGCGGACCGCGACATTGAAGGACGAGCTCGCGGCGCTCCTCGCTCCACAGCCACCGGATGGCGCAGCGATCCGACTGATGACGCGCGGCGTTCCGCGCTCTCGACCACAGGGAGCGCTCCCCTCCCCCCATCAGCCCCCCCTCGAGTGACCCCGAGAGAAAGGCGGCGATCTGGTCGCAACCAGGGGGGTGGCCGATGCGGCGTGCAACCACTCCCCGCAGAGACGCCCAAGCCAGGTCCCTGACCGCGCGGTCGTCCGCCGTCAAAAGACGGAAGACGTGCGCGACCGAGAGGACGTCGGCGAGGTCAGCTAGAGGAAGTAACCCACATCCCCCCTTGCGAGGGGGCATGTAGACCACTTCGGCGCTCGCTCTCTGCGGGAGGTTGAGCCACATCTTACAGGACCTGCGGATCTGCAGGTCGAGCTCCTTGAGGGGGCCCTTCTCCACTGCGGCTCCCCGCAGCAAAAAGTCGAGCCGCGGCAACAAAAAGTCGCCACGGTCTCAGTCCTCTGTCACGGGGCGAGGAGGGAACGGTCGACCGACGCCAAGTCGTCACGCAGCACCCTAATGGCAGCATGCGGAGTCTGGTTGACCCCAAAGCCCGTCGGTATGCCGAGGTGCTCATAGGCCTCGCCCTCGGCCATTGCACGGACCGGTTGGCCCTGGACCCGGAGGGTCGTCGGTCGGACCCTGCCCGCTCCGCCTGCACCGATGTGCAGGGCGCGTTTGGCAGGGTTGAACCGCATCCCGACCGGCGATGCCTCGTTCACCGCGACTGCGAGCAGTCGTTCCATTTCGTCGGGCATCCTGGAGACCAGTACCAGGTCATCTGCATAGGTCATTACTGACCACCGCGAGTCCAAGAGCTCGACCCCGAGACCGACAGCCGTGACCGCACGCAGCACGGAGTCGATCGTGAGGTCGAACACGATTGGACTCAGCGGGCATCCCTGGCGTACGCCCGAGCGAATATAGATGGGCGCTGTGAAGCCATCAGCGGTTCGCACCCGCGTGATGCAACCATCGTACAGCGAGCCCCATACGGCGATGAGGCCCGCTGGCGCGCCCGCGCGAACCAGTGCGCGGCGGATCGCCCCGTGGGGAACCGATCCAAACGCGTTGGATAGGTCCAGTCACGCGACTACCACCTCCCTGCGGCTCCTCCGGGCATCAGTCAGGATCTCCTGCAGGACGAAGTTGTGCTCGAAGCACCCCTCGCCCCTTAGGAATCCCTTCTGGGCCGGACTGAGCTTCCCGCTGACCACGCACCACTCGGTGATACGATCGGCCAACACGGCGGCGAAAAGTTTGGGCAGGGTATCCCCCAGCGCGAGAGGGCGCCAGTTATTTATATTACCGCGATCTCCTTTTTTGTACACCATGACTGTGTTGGAGGTCTTCCAGACGGCAGGAACCGCCTCGAGCCGCAAACATGCGTTGAAGAGGGCGACGAGCAGCCGCGCCGATGGATCCGCTGCACGGAGGTCTTTATAGGTTATGCCGTCTGGACCCGGCGCAGAGTTATTCATACGTCGGAGCCGACGACATACCTCTCGCTCCGCGAACGGCTCCACCAGCGCCGCCGCACCGCCATCCTCGCCCGGGACGTCGGCTCGCTCCGCAGGCTCGGCGCCCCGCAGGTCGTCCCCTCCGCGATACAGCTCTTCGAAGTGCGCCTGTACCACGTCGGTCGGCAGATCGCAGACCTCCGCGGGACCGGCTAACACCTCTCGAACTACCCTGCGTCGGTTCCTCCTGAAGAGCGCCTGTATTCGCGCTGCTTCGCGAGTCCTGTTCCGGCCGTCTTCTCCGAAAAAATCGGGGACATTGGCCGGTGCCAATTCCCCCTGACGGCTACCCTCTCGCGCGTCCCTCTCCCCTCGCCGCTCCTTGTCGGCCTCACGCAACCGGCGTGGTGGCGGTCGACGAGCGCGCGGCGCGCCACGCCCTGGCCCGCCTCCTCCGAAGAATCCGGCGACCTGAATCGCCAGATCCTCGAGCTCGGCGAGCGTCGCCACGGAATCCGCCGCGTCGACGAGCCGCGTCCTCTCGACGGCGAGCTGACGCCCCGTCCGTCTCTCGACGTTCGGAGCGGCATCCCGCGCGTCTCGAGGACCACGCGCCGCCATCGGCGGGTTGCGCGGCGCCCTAGCGAGTCGCGTCGCGCCGCCGCCCGCGCGGGAACCCGGAGCCGCAGTCGCCCGAATCGCATCCGGACGCGCGTCGACGGACGCGGGTGTTCCCCGCCGACCCATCACGCCGCGGACTTCACGTGGACCGGACCCGTCTCCGGCGCCTCCCTCGCCAGTATCTCGCGCGCGTGTCTCCTCCACCCTCCGAACCGGCGGCGTCTCTCCGCCTCGCGCCGCGCTCGCCCCCGCAAGCGGGGGAAAATTCGCCTCCGTGAGGGGCGGCGGTTCGAGTGCCGCCCGGGAAGCCGCGCTCGTGGCCTCTTCATCCGATGAGCGTACGCGCGCGCGGCGCGCCCTTCGCCGCGCGGACCTTGGGGTGGCGACCGTCCACGGGCCGCCACCGTCGGCACCCTCCTCGTCGTCGCCGTCCCTCGTCCTCCGTGTAGAGAGCGGCCGGCCTCCGCGAGGCCCCCGCCCTGCGCGGCCTAGGGTCATCCTTCTCGGAGGGGGGCTGCTGCTCTTCCTTCCTCTTCCTCCTCCCTCCGGTGGGCTGGTGGTCGTCCCTGGTGGTGTCCTGAGCCGCTCATCGGCTGCCGCTGGGGACGTCTCCACCGGCTGGGCGCGGGGCAGAGGGGGCGAGGAAATCGCGCCCCGTGTACCCGCGCCCGGGAGCCTGGTCGACATGATCGGGCTCCCCGCCGTGGAGACTGTGATGGTGACGGTGGTGAGGGTCGCCACCGTCCTTGAAACGGGCGTGCATGGCGTTTGAATGCCAGCCAGGCCCCCCGGGGATGCTCCGCAGGTGGTCGGCGGAGTCCCCCCGAGGGACCCTGCACTCGAGAACGAACCGCCGCCCAACGAGGATGGTGTCTTTCTCGTCGGAACGGCGGTCGCCTCGGCGTTGCACGCCCGTCGGGTCGGCTCCACGGAGCTACACCTGGGAGTCCTCCAATTGGCCGCCGTGTGGCCTATTTCGGCCACCGGCGGGCGTTGTTCCGGCGAGGACTCCCAGAACTCGCGTAATTTACCGACCCGGGAGGTGGCGCCCTCTTCCTCAGATGCGGCGGCCAATGGCGGCGTGACCACGGCCGCGCTAGGGGCCCCGCATCTAGTCTCTGTATGCTTCGTGGCCGACCGCTCCTGTTGCTCCAACATGGCCGCCGCACGTGCACCGCGTGCTCCCGCCGACGAAGAAGACGTCCTCGTCGGCGTTATACGTGCCCGCGGTGTCGCCGCGACGGCCTCCGCGAAGGTTGTCGGTGCGCGGGTGCGCGTGAGCGGTGGTGCATGCCCCTCCGACGACGACGACGAGAGCAGCATCACGGCCGCCGGCTGCGCGCGTGTGAGTGTAACAGTGCGCGGCGATGGTGTAGCAGCCGACGGCCTCCTGGGTGCTGCCCGTGTGCGGTGTGGTAGTGCGTGTAGTGGTGGCGCGTGTAATTGCCGACGGTGACGGCGTCGCGCGCTGCACCCGTGCAGCCGCGCCTCCCGTCCTACCCGTGGACGGGTGTCCGCGAGTTGCCGCGTCGCACGCCGTCCGAGGCGAGCGACGGCTCCCCGCGCGTCACCGCCCCGCGCGCCTCAAGCCTACCGGCCCGCGACGTCGACGCCGCCGACGACGCGCTCGCCTGCGGTGATGACGGCGGTGTCGGCGTCGGACGCGGGGAACGCCGACGGGCCGCATCCGGCGGTGCCATCTCCGGCGACTTCGCCCCGTGCAGGGTCTCGTAGTGGGTCCGTACTTTTTTCAAAGGGTACGCACCCGTACCCGTGTACCCACACGCAGAACACCTGTACGTGACGGAGTCGTCGGGGTGGCACTTCTTTTGGTGCTTTGCCAGATGCAGCCCGTCGACGTAGGATCCCCACGCCCTTTGTCCAGGTACGTCCCTCCCGAAGCACCTCGGGCAGGTTACCCTGTCCGGGAGCGGGAACGGGATGACGACCTGGACGGGCGACACCGACATTCCGCTAAAATATAGTAATAAAAATTAATATAGAATTGAAATTTTAACCGCCGCCCGGCGAGATAAACAAATCTCGCTCGCAAGGTCGCGATCACGTGCGCACCGAGTGTCGTCCGCAACGGTTTCTCGCGGCAGTGCAACGATCAGTGCGCGGAGTGAGGGTGCAATCCGCACCCACCGACCGATGCACCGCGTTGGGAAAAGGTAGCTTCACCCGCTACTCGAGTGCCGCTTCTGTTCGCGACCCGGAGAGCGAGAAATTGCTTTGACAAGCTTCTCGCCCCGTCGGTCGCGAGCACCGAGACGGCTCTCGTATGCTACGCCTCCACCGTTCGGCCCAACGACCGCGGAGTGTCCGCGACCGATGAACCTCGCGAAGGAGGTTTCGCCTTAACCGAGTGTCCGCCTGCGGTGATGTTCCACGAACGACCGGGCGAGAAACAAGCGTGCGAAGGTCATGGCGCGGGACGGCCGGTGCCCGTCAGCGAGCACCTCCTGTCCGCTTCGCAACGGCCCCGGTGCAGCGTGTGGTGCAATGCCGCGCTCGGTGACCGGTGTTCCGCGTAGTGGAGGGCACGCGTCACTCGGGACGCCAAGTCCCGTCCCGATCCGCGACCCCGCGGCCTAGCGGCGGACGCGACAAAACGCGCGCGACGGGCGAGCGCGCGCCGACGATGGCAGCGAAGACGGACGTATACCCGCTGACCCCCGGCACGGTCAGTAACGCGGCGTGCACACTCGAGATTAAAAAAAAATACGCAAAACGCCCGCGTGTCGATTCCGCGCTCGAGGAGCGGCGCTCCAACGGCGCTCGGCAGGTCCGACCGGCTGCCCGCGGCGGGCGGTTTGCAACGTCGAAAAAACACGTACAAAGACAGTTGCACCGCCGCGGGACCTACGTTTCGTGTGCAGTGGAGTGTGCTTTATCTGCCCGTGACAGGTGCTTAGTGGAATTGTGCTTACTAATCGAGATATACGCGTTGCACCTGTCACGGGACTTATGCTCGGCGCGCAGCCGCTTCTCTTTGTGCTTTGTAACGCCTGTGGCGGGACTTTTTATTAATAAAGGATGTTTTTTAATATGAGTGTGTGCCCGCCACAGGCCTCGCCAACAACGTGCGATAAATAATAATTGTCTTTTTAGTGCCAGTGACGGGCTATTAATGTGACAATGTGCAAAAGCAACACGCCGCCCGTCATTGGACTTATAAATTTCGCGATTCTCTCTCTAAATATCTCTTACAGCTCCACTGCACGCCGGTCGGGTTTCGACGCAAATTTAACAAAGTTTTATCAATTTTTTCCTGCCTTTACAGCCGTCCACAGACATCCATCGATAGAGCCAATAAAATCGCCACTCCTCACCTCCAGGATATCAGCGCAAGAGGTAAGTAGGTAAGTATAATATCCCAGAGGCACTTATTTCACTTTCTCTCACAATAATCAACGTAATTAATTTCAGACGCGGAATCGCACGAGGCAATCGCCTTCCCTGAACGAAGATCAAATTTTCTTGCTATACATGCGGTCGACAGGGGAGGCAACGCGCGCGAGCCCTGGACAACGGAGTACTCGGAATTTTGAAGTACCCAAAGGTAGGCCTTAAAGTACGCGACGTAAAACTTTGCGACGTACACTTTGATCTTAGCCCAGAGAGCCGAGAAACGATGCTTTACAACTGCTACGTTCGCATTTTATCGACAACTCTTTCAATTTTGGTTTTAGCGTTCCGAGTGTTAATAATAATCTTCAGAACTCGTGAGGGGCTAACCAGAACTCTGAATGAAACATCGGATTTCCGAAAAAAAATTTTACGTGTTTAATAAACAATCAATTTTTTGGAAAATCCGATGTTTTATTCAGATTTCTGGTTAGCCCCTCACGAGTTCTAAAGATTATTATTAACACTCGGAACGCTAAAACCAAAATTGGTAGAGTTCTTGCCATTTTTCGTTTTCTAATTCGAGAATTTTAAATATAATTTTTCTTATTGTTTTAAACAGAACTGTTTTTAAAACTTATCTAGAACTATAGAACTTAAAAATCTATCTAGAACTCTAAAAAAATTGTCATTTTTTACATAATGAGGGGCGTGGTGAAGTTGGCCCTCCGATTTTTAAGATGGTATTTTCTCTACTTTAAATGACGGAACTCTTTCTATAAAGGATTGCGAACTCTAGAACTCTGCGAGGGGCATTCAGAACTCTAATAATTTTTTTCATATTTGAAGAATGAAGGGCCATCTTCACAGAGGTGATGGAGCGAACACATTCTCTGTCTCTCTTTTGCTTGGCTCGTCGAAACAAGTCGAGCGTAGGGCGGGGTCTCAGAGGAAGTGTCATCGACGAAACGTGCAATGCTTGCGATGCCCGTGTGTTGTATGCAACACGTGCATTTTCCTAAAAAACGAGAAAAAAAATGATTGGCGAAAAAGGACAACGCCGACCGCCAAGGAGATGCGAACCACCGCCCTCAACCCCGCGAGTCCAGCGTACTTCCACCAAGCCACACGCTCTTTGAGAAGCTCGCTCCTTCATTTGGTTCATGAAGTACTCGCGATTTTCAATCGCGACTTTCTTGCAAACGCTTCAATGCTACGCCGTATCTTTAAGTGCAATGTTAATTTGTCATGCAAATCTATCGACACAACGAGTTTAGTCGAAATCGATTGCTATTGATCATCTCGTTGGATTCACGCCGAGAGTGAAACGTCAGTCTCGACCGTGTGTCGGGAAGCACAATCTCGGCAACGTTGCGAATCAGAGCGAGATGGAGAGAACACATTCCCTCTCTCTTTCTCTTTCGCTTGGCTCGTCAAAACAAGCCGAGCGGAGGGCGGGACTTCAGACGGATAGACGGGAGCAGTTTCTCTGTGTGTGTGTGCCGACTACATTCTTACATAGAAACGTACGGCAATTAAAAATGTTTAAGCATATACCCTGAGATTCTATCTGTTGCGTATGACACGTGTGTGTGTGTGTGTGTGTGCGTGCGTATATGTACACGTACGTCACGCACACTTTCAATGCAACACATGCACACGGACACAACTGCGCTAAAAAACGCCTGCCGGAGTATAAATAAATACTAACGTAACGTTGAAATATTTTGGAAAAATAATTTTAGGTACACACAAAATATGATCTTATATCATATATTTATATATCGATATAAATCGTATATAATCTTCATGATATTAATCATATACAATCTCAATTCTTATTTTTTTTGTGCATGTTAACATGTTAATTCATGTTACAAATGCACGAGACCGTACTTGTCAAGTACGCTATTATGGTTGTAGCACGGACATAAACCGCCTGAAAGTGGATGTAGCACGGACAGCCACCAGATGCAGGTTTTACCGTCGAGACCTAAAAGTGGATGTAGCATCGTAGTTCCCCTCTCAAAATGGATGCAGATAGCGCCCATTCCCAGTGCGAAAAATCGGTGTCGCCGAAAACGCCGTGTTGGCCGCTCTCAGCTTCCTCTCTGATATCTCGCAAAATGACCGACCGAGTACATCGAGAGAAGTGTTGCGCATATCGAGATATTTCGCGAATCTTAGCCGCTCTTTTAGTCGCGAAACAGACCAGCGCGTGCGATATCACGATCGTGTCTTCGTGAAGTCATACAGCGATTTCGACTTTTCGCAGACAAGTTTCGCACACGTGTTATCGTTGGGAATGCTATGAATTCTGCGCGTTCATATCGTGATAAATTATCATTGAACAACTGTTGTGAGTGAACATTTTGTGAAACGGATCGTCGGAAGTTGAACTAAGTATTGCGCGTTTGTCGCATTAACGGCGATTCGACGTTTAAATAAATAAGTCAAACCGCTGCGGTTTACGCTTTCGATCCGCAGAAAATTTTGCACGTATATTATTTCTAGGTGTCCCAAACATAAATAATTTGTCTTCCAAGTCCTCTAATTGCTACGGTTTATTTTTTCGACTCGCAGAAGTTTTACGTTCAGATTATCATCGAAAGCGACGAGAATGAAAGGTTAGTAGATATTTCATCAATAAGACTAAGAGATGTCGCTACTCTACCGTTACAGTAGCTTTATAGCTATTTCGAAATTTCTCATCTTCTAAGAATCGTAAGAAATACGATTCAACTTCTATCATGATGTACCATCGGTAAAAATTATTCATATTTTCAAAGGTGGTGTTTTTCTCTTTTACTAATAAATATTGTTTATTTGAACTGCAAATTCTAAGAAATATTTTGGTAGAAAGGAGGAGAGAGATTCGTAAAATATTTTCAGAAAAAATGAATTTAAAATTACGTTTCATGAAGGAAATTAATATAAAAATGATATTATTTCATCATGATATTATTATATTACAATATTTCTGTATTATTTTCCAATTCATATTGTATTATTATTAATATAGAATTATTCGCCAAGGATTAAATTTTATATCAATACATTACATATATATAAGTGAATATAAACATAAATATATGAATACGATATTACAATTTTTATAGCGATTGTTTTGATATAGTTCATTTTCCATTGATAAGAGGTTTCATAATGTTATTATTGCATACAACAACATGTGTATTATTGCAGATAAATGTTATTCAATATTTCTTTCTATATCAATGCCTTAGTTTCTTTAGACAACAAAATGATGTCCTAAAAGTATCAAAAGCTATTGAAATCTTAAAAAAATAACAGAAATAGCAGACTTAAGTAGGATGAGTGGTTACGAATAACCGTGCTGAGACTTTGAGTCATACATATCTCAGAATTGTCGTCTTAGCTGTCTTTCTCTCTCTTTCTATATATATATAATTAAAATAAAATAGATATAGTTTAGATCTGAAAGCAAGCAAGAGAAAGAAAACAGATAAGGTGCAGAAAGTGCAATTGAAACGAGAAAACATCTCCACTCTGGTGTACCATATACACACACGTGCGCGCGCGCGCGCACACACACACACACACACACACACACACATATATAACATATATATATAACAACCCCTGCGAAATAATCATGATCACTTTGGCGCAGCCGCGTACAGCTCCGCCGTGCGGATTGCGCCGCTACTAATTTGACCGTCGACAAAATAGTGGGGGGTAAGCTGTAGCGAGAGAGCGTGCGTCTACGTCAGGAAAAGCTCCGAGCTTATTGGTCCCGGTCCATTGTTGCGTATTGATTGCTGCGGAGCAGTGGTATGGTCGTCGGGACACACGGTCGTCTTCGTCGTCGTCGCCGTCGCCGTTGTCGGTGGTGTATACAGCCGAGATTAGGTTAAGAGGAGCGGGCGCGCGTTATAGATAAAACAAAAAGAAACAGAAATAAAATAGTCATCCGCATCTGCCGTTGTCGTCGTCGTTGCCGTCGTCGCCGTCGTCGTCGCGCATTCGTCGCGTTTCTCGTCGCGTTTCGTCGCCTCGCGAGTCGCGCGTTTATTACGGTACATCTACATATGCATGTACGTACTTCTACATCTATCGCAAAGAAGAAAATTTAAAATAAGAACAAAGAAGAGGAGAGAGAGAGAGAGAGAGAGAGAGAGAGAGACAGAGGGGAGAGAAAGAGAGAGAAAATATAAGTATATATAAAAAATATATTACAGTATATATATATATATATATATATATATCAGTTACGCGAAGGGACAAACAGAAATATCTGTCGCGTACCTGTGCAATCGTACGCGCGCGCGCGCGCGCACGTATGTAACACGCGGTAGTGGTATCAGTGGTTTCTTGTTTTTCCTATTGTTTTCTGTTGCTCCAACTTTGTTTCACACGGGACTTGAGAATTGCGATATTTCCCTGCCTGCGGCATCAACGGCGGCGGCAGCAGCTGCCGCCGAGCGTGGTGACATCGAAACCGCGCTACGAACCCTCGCTAACCAGGCCGAGCCCCGCGGCCAGTTGACGCGGCTGGTGGTAGCTGCGAAGACGAAGAAAACGGTGCAAGATTCCCCAAGGACAAGGACACCTAAATCTCGAGTGGACAGTGTTCGCACGATTCCGAGGAAAACGTTTCACCTACGACGCAAGATTGTCACGTACGTGCGCGTATCGGAGCGAGAGTCCGCGAGCGTTGCAAACGTTCGTTCAGAGTGTGTCGCCAAGACGACGGTGAAACATCAGAGTGGTCCTGAATACTGTCACAACTAATAAAAGGCATTTACGAACGAGAGAAGACATTCTCAGAGCGAGTACATAAGTCAGCATAAGCAACTGAAGAAACGAGCATAAGAGGTGATAGGGCAAAAGAGAGAGAGAAAGAAAGAGAGGGAGAGTGTCTGAGAAGAGTGAAAGAGTGAGAGAGAGAGAGAGAGAGAGAGAGAGAGAGAGAGAGAGAGAGAGAGAGAGTGAGTGGGTGAGAGAGAGAGAGAGAGAGAGAGAGAGAGAGAGAGAGAGAGAGAGAGAGAGAGAGAGAGAGAGAGAGAGAGAGAGAGGGTGGGTGAGAGAGATTGAGAAAGGCGGAGAGAGACGAGGACAGACTCGCGACGCCAACGAGTGTACGTGGGGCGAACGTGGGGAGCGAAGAGGAGAAAGAAAGTGGAAAAGAGATTGACGGCGAATTTCTCCAGCGCGCAAAAGCTAAAGGAAGCTAGTGGTTGCTTGCTGGTGGTACCGCTCAGCTGGCCGTCGTGCACAGGGTTTCTCGAGGGTAGAAAAGCGCGTCGCGCATCCCGGAGGCGGCGCGAAATTATGAAGCGCATAAAGTGCGCCCTACTGGCCGCCGCCGCAGCTGCCGCCGATAGTGATAGCCGCCGGTGAATGTGTGACCCGGGGGCAGCAGAGATCCGCCGGGATGACGACCGAAGAGACGACCGAGCAGCCCCCGGTAGACGACTGCCTCAAGGAACGGAAATGGTGGTGCTTCCTGCTGTCGAGCATCTTCACCTTCCTCGCCGGGCTGCTGATCGTACTCCTCTGGCGTGCGTTCGCCTTCCTCTGCTGTCGCAAGGAGCCCGAGCTATCCCCAAATGACCCGAAGCAGAAGGAGCAGAAGACAGCCCGCCAGGGCAAGGAGTTTGAGGGGACTTTTATGACCGAGGCCAAGGACTGGGCCGGCGAGCTGATTTCCGGGCAAACCACTACTGGACGTATTTTGGTAAGTCTCACATTTTCGTTATTGTGCATCGTAGCATTTGTGCTGTTTACGTCGAACTCTGTTGGATCGTTACAACGACGTGTTAACAAAGTGATCGCAATAACAGTGTTCCAGCGTGTACAATACGTGCCGCGTAATATTTATGGTGTTTTACGCGGATTATCGATTTTAAAAAATTGATTCTCTGTCTCTCTCTCTCTCTCTCTCTCTCTCTCTCTCTCTCTTTCTTTTTCTTTTTCTTTTTCTTTCTTCACTGCAGTCTGACCTATATTATTATTTTTCGAATTTTTCATCTATTAGTCGACCTTATTGAGAAAAATATTATTGCGATATTGAGTTTATAATATTCGTGATACGTTTAGAAAGAAACGACAATTTATCCATGGATGTGATTTATTTTCTTATAATATTTGTCATAGTTCTCCCTCAAATATTCTTTCGTTTTATTTGTATTTCGTCTGTATATTATATATTGCAATTTTCAACAATTTTATTTAACTTTTATTGATTTTTATTACGTACTACATTTTATAATGCGTATACGGTGATATAAAATCTTAATGTTAAATTTTATATTATGATTTCAAAAGAGGATTAATTAAATTTATGAGGACATCAGGGAATTATAACGCGCGTTCACTCAGCTTACACGTTCGGGATTTCGCACATATTAAGGAATACCTCGGTTTCTATTTATTTACATGTTTGTGCTAATCGAAGGCTGATAACAATACCGAATAGACTGAAGAGCAAGCCTTCTAAATTCTTCTAGTGATAAATATGAGAATGATCGTTACAATGAGACTGTTGATTTCGTTCATCAAGATCTTATTGGAAGCAACATACATCCGTAAATTATTTCACAACTGTTGCAAAAATGTGCTGTGAGGAAATATTTCGATTATAAATGTTTCTCAACTTGTCGCAAAATCGAGATTTGTACTCGTAGCGAGATTTTATACTATATCGAGTCGGTGATAAAATTCTTCCGCTGCGGTACTATTAATTTTTATTGATAATTGAATTTCTTGAAAATCAAACACGATTCGGCTAAATAGGTCGTACGTCGAAGAAAATAGGAAACCGATTTCAAAGAAAATCCAATAAGAACGTCGAGATGCGGGCGAGAGGTCAGAGGAGAGAGCCGAGGAAGGAGTTACTGATTAAAACTGTTCCGTGCAGATTTGTGCCAGTCACGAGACGCCATTACCGAAAATTCGGGCCGGCATTAAACTGTCGTTTAAATCTAACTGAGTTTTAAAGTTCGATCACGATTCGTCTGCTGGGCGATGACACCGCGGCAAAGGTTTCTCGTCAAATACATCCCCCTTCCTCATTCTCACTCTCTCTTTCTCCCTGTCTCTGTCGTTCCTGTCCGTACCATCGTGCGCCGCTGTACACCTTTCACCGGGATACACGAAGATCGGCATTAGCGGCGCGTCCCGGACATGCCACAGGGTGAGAACTGTGGCGAAGCATGTACAGTACACGTAAGCTCGCGCGCGGCCACTTACACGTGTACGCGCGCGTGCGCCCGCGCACACCAGATTTCTATAGCCTCGAGAGCTCATATACGAGAGTCGCGTACGTGACCGGTGACCTAGTTTTCGTTCGTGGAACCAGACGCGGCGTCGGTGTTGGCCCCAATGTAGAGAGGGGTGGTTTCTACGCAGTGCGTGTTCTCCACCCCCGGAGATATGCGTGTTTTTCGTCGCTATAGTGTCCGATCTGCGATGCTCTTGTCTTCCTCCCCCCCCCTCCTAATCGCGATCTTACCCCTACTCCCGATTCTTCCCCTATTCCCGAGAGGCTTGCGTTCAATGTTCGCGAATACATTCGCTCCTCGAGCTGTGAAGCCATGAATCCGCCTCCGGCCATCTTCTTCTTACACCCTCAGAGAATACTTCTTACAACCTCCTACGCATCTACACACCCTGCCGGCTGAATGCGTTAAGTCAGCCGAGAAGGCTGCGTCCAATTTACGAATAGCTTTATTCAAATTTTATAGCTAACCCCTGCGCGCGCGTAAGGGGCTTTCCTGCCCTACCGGGGGCATAAACGAAGATAGTGCGGAGGATTTACGTGCACGATGTTACGTTAGAACGGTTTGCAGGGACCACGGTAAGGAAGTAACATCGTGGCGCCTTTCGTTCCGCAAGGAAGTTTGAAACGCTGCTCGAAAGAGCGATCGTTGGATCTTAAGTTGCGCTTGTTCCGCATTTTTCAATGACACGGGGGATATCGACATACCGCCCTTGCGAAACTTGGCCCCGTTTGTTGAGACCGGGTCAGACGACAGATTGTATTTGGCCATGCGAGATCGAATCACAAGGTTCAACGGGTCACAACAATCACAATCCGACTGCGAATAATAGGAATATTTTTTCGGAACATAGTTTCGATCTTGGATTACGTGCGCGCGATCTTAGCCAATTGCAATTGACGCGTCGATAGTCGAAAAAAAGGTTTATTGATGCGAAAATACGCGAAACTATTTTAATAATATCTGTGATAAATAATCCGTTGCTTGCTTAGCGACGGAGATACGACTCTTGTGATTGTAATCTGAACAACAGATTGTCGGATAATCTGTAATCCAAAAGTCGATTCCTCTTTCGATATCGGTTTGCAATCTGTCGGCTTTAATCGTTCTTAACGCTATAATTTTCTTGCCGAGGCACTGCGGACTGAATTAAAAATTCAATTTTCTCCCATCGATTAATTTAATTTTAATTTTTTATTATGTTGTAAATTGAGTAAATATTACTGAAGAGAGCAGTAGAGAGAAATATCTGTGGAATAGTGGAATAATTATATCTGTGGAATAATTAGACTACTTCTCCCCAATTTGAAATTTCATTTCCACTAATCCTGCAGATTCTACCAAATTTGAGGTATCGATGAAGAATCTCGAGATATAATATTGTATTATATAATCTATTATTCGATTCGAAACATTTGTAAACATTTTTGGGATTGAAAAATTAACACTGACGTTTATGAAGAGATTGTCTCGTATATCGAAAGTTTCTTTAAACTAATATAATGTCCTATACTTCAGTGTTCGAGTGAAATATACGTTTTTCATTAATCACGCGCTTCGGTAATTTATAATTTTATTTACATATTCGCGAATATATTTAATTTAAAATAGAGAATATCAAATCCCTTTGAATAAACATTTGCTGTGACAGTTATCGTGGTAGAACATGTCCGATCATCAGTTAGTGATGAATGTCTGTCTGACGGCGCGCTGACTATTACCACTTTGCGATAAAGCCTATATGCGGCTGTATAGTATGTAGATTCTGCATCATAGAAGTTTCTCGCTGGCTAGCGGGTCTATTCTGTAACATTTTACATTATGAAGCCTTCGTTAATGAAGTTTGTTTCACAGCTCTGGTAACGAAGTTTGCGTTACGCCGCAGCGATAATGTCATAAAGACGATCCGTTATAGCTTATCTGACGTCAAATTTGTGGCAATCGCAAAAAGGTGGTATTTCCGCACTGGACGCGTTCGTACGCGACGACGTACGTTTGTCGAAATCGTGCTTATCGTTTTTGCTATTCGATTCGCGATTTCTAATTTTTTATTCGCGAGTCGAGATACAGCATGAAACAGCTAAGTGTAAAATAAACAGAATGAAGAGAAAAAGTACACGATGAAAAGCTATAAAGTTGCTCCGTGAAGTAGGATTCAGGTCAAACGGATTGTAGATTTAAAATGTTAAAAAACGGAAAGTTATCTTTAACGGAAATATATCTTTATAGAGTAACTGTAGTCGGTGAAATTTTTCATCTTTTGTTGAATAGCATCGAATGGTTAAATAAAGATTAAATCGTAACAGTTGAATGAAGAATATTTTCGATTGTAACATTATTCTTTGTTTTAAGAGATAGTTATTTGAATATTCTACTATATATTCAAATCGCAATATACTTTCAAATAAAATATAGCGCGACTATTGTGACGCGCGACTTGCCAATGAAAAATAATTGCGATGTTTACAAGTAGCGTACAAAGTAGCGATGTGATAAAACCCGTTTTTTATTCGATAAAACGATTGAACATTCGCTGTAAATATCGCCGTAAATATATGATTGAGTGATGTAAAGATCGCACCGTGCGTGAATATTTTCCCGCAAGTTCATCAAACAGAGTAAATTAGTTTGCTATAATTTTTGAGAGTTGATACTAACTTACGTTGGTGCCATTCAAAATGAACTTGTATTGACCTTCGTGACCTCAGGTCGCATGGGATTGCAGGCACTAGAGAGAGAGAGAGAAAGAGAGAGAGAGAGAGAGAGAGAGAGAGAGAGAGAGAGAGAGAGAGAGAGAGAGAGAGAGAGAGAGAGAGAGAGAGAGAGAGTTCTCAGCTTTATTTCAGTTACAAGGAATTACACAGATGTAGAATATAATTTATGGAACATTATGTCGTCTAGACGGTGCTCCCACGGAGAAATAGTAGTAAATTGTATTACTCCCCAGCGGTGTAATTATATTATTTTTCTATTTCTTGGTGTGATACATTAACATTTCTAATTTCATGTCATATTTTAATTTCATGAGGTTAGGTATTCAAGGAAAAGTTACGTGACTGTAAGATTTTATTTTCGTCTTTGCACAATCGAGAATAAAATTTTTACATACATTTATAACGCGATATAACTTAACGTTGTCTGTACGTGTATGTATCTCGATAGTTGCACATCCGTTAAACTTCTTTTCAACAAGTTAGACCCCGAGCAGAGAGTGCCTCGATAACAAGAACGTTTGATTATTTTGTTAATTTGATTGGTTAATTTGTTGGTTTGGTTTATTAATGAGCTTCTTACGTGAATAAACGGCTCTTTCGTTTTATCTGCTCCATGCTTGATCATTTTCACTCGATTATATCAAATTCGGACTTCCTCGCGCACATACTTGCCACTCTGTATGCGACCAAGAACGTCAAGCTCGTCGTTGACTAATCAACTCCAGTTTGCCGGCTGTCGCGGT